AGCGCCAGGCCCCATCACACCTTGTGATGAGCATGATGTATGTTTGGTCTGCGTTGAAACATTGAGTGGGCTAGTCCTTAGTATTCTAGCATTCTGGTTCGCTATCTTGTACTACGTGAAAGAGGTCAGTCCCGGTCAGGTCAGGACTTGTATCTAAATCTTCCACAGCGCTATAAAACACCATTTTGTATGTATCGGAATGCACATTGCTTGTTGAGATTCCACTTGCACTGCATTGTCTATTCAGTCCTTTTTATCACATTGCGGATCCTCGGTTTATATGTACATCGCCCAACTGGGCATGTAACAGAGAGAGAGAGAGGGAGCAAAGGATCCCTTTCACACATATCAGAGGCCCCCTGCAGGTAATCTGAAGGGTCCTCGCAGCATATTGGCGTAGACCCTCCACCAAAATCGAGGCAGGCGATGAGTATGAAGTGGAGCACGAGCTGGCCGAATATATACTCTGGATTCGAATTCAGGTCTGTGTTTCAGCAGGTATGGGTTGCTCACGTAGCTAGGCCCTGTTGGTCTCTGCATGTGAATCATGTGATTCTCAGGGCGTGGCTGCAATGCTCACTGAATGTGCAAAATTAGAACGAATCCTCTGCTAGAACGTGGAATAATACGCCGCCATATGTTTTGTCTTTTGTGCATGTGGTGAGTAGAGGCCCTTAGGACAACCGCACATATTCCTTAGAAAAGAAAAACGAAAAAACAGAGAAAGTAGTGACTCATAACCGCTGATACACTGACCTGAATTCGAATCAGACTATATATTCTCGGCCAATGCATACAAAACTGGAAATTTAATGCCTATCTCTGCTTCGCGGTGAGTCCCGGCTAATTCGCTGTAGGGGTCAGAAAAGAGACTGGACACAATTAGGACATGCACACCCACACACACACACATGCACTCACAGTTTTGGGGTATGACGTGGCCCCAACTTTTTTCCCTCTTCCAGTTTGATTTTTAGAAGCGAGGGGCATGTTTGGCCACCCCACCCTGTCCTTCTCGGTTTTCTTTTGTTTTTTTGTGATGCACCGCATCACGTGCGCGCGTTTGCGCTCTGAGCCGCACGTGCCGCGACCTCGCGCACGGCATGCGCCGCAAGTATGCCATTCTCTCTTCCAAAGGGGCACCGCCACAGACTTAGCAAGGTTCCATTTCTTTGGAGAGACGTTCATCGAATTGCTGGTGGAACTCGAGAAGGCCTGCAATATGTATATATATCACATAACTATGAACTAAAAGAGCGCACTTTGCGAAACAAACGGCAGAAACAAAAAATAAAAAAAACAAGACAAACATGAGGGGCACACTGAAACCATTCATTTTTCTCATTCCTCTTTTAACTCTCCCTTCACCGTGCCTCTCAGTACAAGGCTCGCCACATTGATGAAGTTGAGCGCGAGCTGCCCCCATCCCCGTGTACCATAACGGTCCACTTGTACGCTGTGAGAAAGAGGCAGAGTGATGGGGGAGGGGATAAACACAGGGAGGAGAGATGGAGAGCAGACAAACAAAGAACGTATAGTCCAGATTCGAATTCAGGTCTGTTTTCCAGAAGTTATGGGTTACTTACAACTACTACTACAGTAGCTCTCTCTTGTTTTTGTTTTTCCTGTTCTTACATGCAGTGGCCCTAAGAGCCTCGCTCCACTAGTCACCACTTGCACAAAAGACAAAGCATATTGCGGTGTATGATTCCAGTTTCTAGCAGAAGATTCATTCTAGTTTTGCACATTTGGTGAGTAGTGGAGTGAAGCCCTGAAAATCACATGCCGAGTTAGTTAGTAACCCATAACTGCTGAAACACGGATCTGAACTCGAGCTACACCTTATATAGTTGGCCTGCTACAGCCTTACTAAAAGTCCAACAATGACTACCGTTTTCTGGGCGAGGGGCCTTTCGGAGAACCCGCAGGGGTGAAATGGCTCTTTGTTCTCTCTCTCTCTCTCTCTCTCGCGCGCGCGCGCGCGTGTATACACACATCATGGACAGTTTTCTTTTTTTCTTCTTTTTTTCCCCCATGCATCAGCTATCAGCGCGGCGTGCAGCGCGCACCGCACATAAGTGCCGCAAGTATGCTTGGACTGAATCATGATATAGAGAACGTTAGGTGTGCAATAAGGTAGGTTGTCATACCTTGAATGGACATCGCTATGGTGAAAGGAGGTGGGTTTAGCAAAAGCTGCTCCAGATACCTGATCAAAAGGCACCACAGAATGAAAACCACAAATCTCATCACCTCCATTTTTCAAGAGTTATTTGAACTTATTTTGGCATCACTCTAACATGGTTCTAGTTCATTCACTCATTTGTTAATGGAAGAGCAGGAGGAGGTTGGGAGGTTTAACTGATAGGGAACATGAATGATGACTGATTTTCAGTTCTTCGAAATGTCAATCTCGTTGGCAGAGTCAATAAAGAGATCAAGGGCACTCTTCAGCTCCTAGTTAATGGCCTCCAGAAGAAGAGAGCCTGCACCACAGACTACTTGAATTCATCTGGCTCATGATTGATATTCTTCCGCCAGTGAACAACATTGTGGCTGCACCTTATGAGATCCCTCTGCAAGCGACGTCTGAGCTGTGGTTTCACAGCTCCCATCGGGCATGAAAGGAATACCTTGTTATCGATACTGTTGTTCCTGTTCATTCCATGAAGCAAGACTCCAATTGGAGACAATGCCATTCATGGCAACTCAAGAAGGAAAAGAAAGAGATCAAGTGACATGTAATGATCCGGTCCAACCCGAATCAAGACGACAACTCGACAGCAAGATCCACCCGATATGAGCCCACACAGAACCTAATTACAATGGGAAATGATATACACAGGTTCCTCAAGCTGGCGGCTATGGCCACCAACAATAACAACGAGCAGGTAAGTTAATCTCTCACTCTCTCCTCTCTCTCTCTAACTCTCTACTACCACTACTAACTACCTCGCTCAGGTCCTACGATCGCTCTCTGAATGTCCTCTCTCTCTCTCTCTCTCTCTCTCTCTCTCTCTCTCTCTCTCTCTCTCTCTCTCTCTCTCTCTCT